TCCTGGCCAACCCTGTGAGTAGCTAACTGAACCGATTGCTGCTCTCTTCTCTTTGGGCTGAGCCCTGTCCTAGCAACAAAGGGAGGTTCACGAGTAATGTACCCATTCTCTATTCCCCTTTCTCATCCTACCGCGGTTTGGGTGCAAAGTAGCAGACATCACGTAGTGGGTGCTAGGTGGTGAAGTCATCAAGTCAAGCGGTAGGCTTAGCCTCAGTTGATTGGGCGTTAGGTCTTTCATCAGTTCACTAAGTTTGAATAGCTCGAGGAGGCATTAATAACTGGAATAAAGATAAGCTCTCTTGTGAGCTGTTTTGCCGCTTCTCTTATCCCGCCATTGGCAATTGCAAAAACAGGTAAACCCGAAGTAGAAAAAAAGAATACAAGCACTTCGCTCCTGATCTTCATACATAATAGTGGGATTTCCACTCTGTAGTTTTGGAGGGAAAATTATTTCCTCCAAGCTTGTCCAATTATATATGTATATATGTGGATTACATAAAGATATAAAATAATATAATGTTAGATTAATAAGAAATGATTACATATTTTCTTAACGTGTACGTAAATTCCATCATAATAGAGTATATGTGTCAAATGTAACATGGTTCTACTGTATTATATGTAAACATTTGAACATTTATGTGTTAAAATAAACGACATAGAATCGTAAATTGACATGTAAAATTTAAAAGTTTATATACATATATGCAGTATAGATACCAAAATAATTTAAAATATTTATTTATCATATTACATGTGGATATCACATTAGTTATGATTTTTTCTGTTTTATTTTAAAATTTCCCAATATAACCGAAAAAATTAATATAGTGTTTGATGTTCCAAACAATGATTTAAATACCGTACCGTACCGGCCGGTAATACCGGATACCGGCCATTGGTACGGTATAATTACACTGAAAATACCAGATTTACGGTTATACCGGTTTGTACCGGAATCATACCGTAAATACCGATCCAAAAATACCTGTCAATAATAAAAAAAAATTAAATTTATTAATTAAAAAACATAAAATTTAAATTGGTAGTTAAATGCTTTATTTTTATCTCATTGAGAAGTTGAAATTAATGATTATAGTCATTTATTTTTTTACTTTTTTGCATTTGGTATTATATATTTTTATGTATATTTATATATATCATTGTATTTGTTAGGCCGGTAATACCACCGATATTACCGGTCATACCGGTAATACCGCGTACCGGTGGCTAGACTGGTATGACTACCGGTACGATATTTAAAACACTGGTTCCAAACACCTTTCTTCACAAGTGACCTTTGAATGATAAATAATACATAGAAATTAATATATATTTATTTCACAATAAAATTATATAGTTATGAATCTATATATATATTAAAGTGGAGCAGCTGAAAAAAAGTTTGTTTTCCCTCCAAAACTTCATTTAATAGATTAAATTAAATTTTGTCAAAATTTATGCATGATATATCATTAAAACAATAAGAAAAATACTTTGTTACATCTAAATAATTGTATTGGAATTTGCACTCCAATTTCTCTTGGCTAAATAAATGCTTCAACTACATCTATTACCATGAAATAAATATTGTTAATTTCTATGTACTATTTAACATTCAAAGGTAAATAAATATTGTTAATAAATATACATCTATTGTTAAATAAATATTGTTAATAAATATTGTTTTAATATATCATGCATAAATTTTGACAAAATTTAATTTAATCTATTAAATGAAGTTTTGGAGGGAAAACAAATTTTTTTTCAGCTGCTCCACTTTAATATATATATTGATATTGATATTGATATATAGATATGCAAATTTATTTATAATAAACAATTATAATTATTATTAAATCTTACATAGAAATTGACAAAATTTATTTATAGGTAATTAATGCAATTTTGGAGTAAATTTTTTCCTCCAAGTTTCTTTAGTTATATTTATGTGTGTGTGTGTGTTTGTGTTTGTGTTTGTGTTTGTGTGTGTCAATATTATGACATATGCAATGCACACTTTGTGGTATTCTAATAAATAATATTTTTTTTTTCGTATCAAAGTAATTAATGTATTCACAAAGGAAAAAATAATAATAGAAAACCAGAATGCAACTTCACACAAAATAATTATTATAAAATAAGTTTTTATTACAAATAATTATACATTGTTGTTTGAATTATGTACCTTGGAATTAACAATTTAACTCTAAAGTTTATTTGACCGTGTGAATTAGAGTGTTTGTTTCCAATGAATAATTATATGCATATTTATTTATTTATTTATGACAAACCATTGTAATTATTATTTGTTGAAAACCTTACATAAAAGTTGGCAAAATTTATTTCTATCAATTAACATAGTTTTGGAGGGAATTTCCAGCTACTTCACTTTAATATATATATATATATATATATATATATATATATAAATACTATTGGAGAGAGATTTTTTGCAATAAATGTGGGTGCCCCTTGAATTGGGTTGGTCTTAATTCATTTTCTTTCTTAATTTTCAAAAATAAATGAAAATGAGATATTAGGCATACTAAAAATGGGCCGGTCTGCTGCCCCTTATTGAATTGGGCCCTGGACAGTTGCCCAGGTCGCCCTGGACTAGAGCCGGCCCTGGTAAGCAATTGGACAATATATAATTGTTGTCAATTCTCATGGCACACCACAAGAGAACTAGGAAATCAAATTATGAAACACAAAGTATTTATATAAGAGCATCATTAGAGAAGTTTAACAATGAGTATTGAATAATGTTTAAAAATACAAATCTCGGGGTTTTGAGTAGGGGTAAGTATCGGTGTGTTTTAGTAAAAAACCAAAAACCACCGCAAAAAATTTTAAACCAAAAATCTAAAATTTATACACTAAACTGCATCGCAAGAGAATAAAAAACTGAACCAAACCAAAATTTTCTATGCAGTCAGTATTTCGGTTAATCGCAATTAAGAAAATGCAACAACACAAATCAAAGTTCAAACCATACAAATTAAATCTTAAGCCAAACACAAATCAAAGTTACTAAATTGTTTTTTTATGTTTAAACATTAAAGTTAATTAATTATAAATGTAAAAATCGTGTAAGAATTTAAGAGTATAAGATAATATACTAGCAACTATATTTGACACATAAAAATTCGCTGCGGGTCGGTTAAAATCACACCATTCATACTCAAAACCGAACCGCACCGAATTTTTTGCAGTTTTTTCGAAGAATACTCCTTGAATTAAATACCTCAGAAACCGCACCCAATTGAGTACAAATGTTTTCTAAACATTACTCTTGGGAAGTGGGTTCATTCCAAGTATGTTCAACCAAGTCTTGTCGAAGTTGTTGATGAATTTGTCTGTCTTGCACCTCAGCTCTTATCTGCAAGTAACGTTGAAAATTTAGAGACGCCCCTTCATGCGTCAGCACTGGTGGTTCCCCATCATCATTAGACGAGTTGATAGCCTTTTCGCCTTCGTCCTCAGTTATCATGTTATGTAAATCATACACAATAACATAATTTCGCTAAGATCTTCTTTATATAAAAAACAAGAAAGATATCGTATAATTGCCCACATTGACCGGAGGACCCCAAAAGCACACTCAATGTATTTTCTTGCAGCCTTTTGTCTCTAGTTGATTTTTCTTTTTTCTTTTTGGATCCTCTGAACATTGATAGGTTTTGACAAATGTAGGCCACTCTGGATAGATGTCATCTGTTAAGTACTATCCTTTGGTATATTGAGTCCCGTTAACAGAAAAATGACCTTTGGAGCTAAACAATGTAAAACATCATTGAATAATGGAGATTTGTGTCGTCATTTCGTGATCCCGCGAGCCCAAAAAATGCGTGCTAGATCTATAGGTCTCGTGAGAACACCGATTCAAGCATAATCATAGGTATCTCATGGTCCCCTCGAGTATATGAGCCTTGCCATCTAAGTGGACAATTTTTCTACTCTCAGTGCATATAATCTAGACTTCCCAACATGCCAGGAAAACCAAGTTTCTCCTCGTGCAATGTAAGTATTCTTTGGATGTCATTGGCATTAGGGGGCGAAAATAATGGGGTGCATATATTTCTCCCAAAACACAAAAAAAAAACTCAAACAGACTTTGATTCGGCGTGCTTTGACATACAAAGGTATTTGTCACATTTATTAACAGCAGCTACACTTCTGAATTGGTATAACACCTGGTCTTTGTGCTGCGTTTGTTCTACACTTAAAATAAATAGAGTGATCTTGGACATCCTCAAAGATTCAATAAAATAATCGCCTGAACATCCAGAATCTACGACGATAATAGCCTTCGTGATATATGAGATTGGGAGCAAAATAATCTCTTATCAGTATGGCATACCCAACTTCATGATTTTGAGGCACTTCTCGTCTGTCAAGTCTAGTTGAACTTTCATCTTGCTCGGCTTGTTGCAGTTGCATAACCACGACCTCCATCAAGGCAAATTCAGCTTGCTCCAAAGAATCCTCAAACATATGGTTAAAGAAAGCACGATATGAGACTATCATTATTACTTTTGGCCATTTTAGAGAAGTAGAAAATATTTATATTTGTAAAAATTGGCAATAAACGAGAAGAAAGAATCAAGAATTGAAAGATTTTTCGTATGTAGTTGCAGAATTGATAATACTATACTATTTACAGTCAGAAGTGATTGTGTAGAATTGATGATGCTATATTATTTATCATCAGAAGTGATTGTGTTAGGTATTATTGTAGTAGGGTGCACGTGTGGTGTGTTAGGTATTAATGTAATATTATGATGTAGTGGTGTATTAGGTATTTAATATAGTAGATGGTAAGTGTGCAATGAGTAATGAATTAAATGTCGTTGAACCAATAATTTAAGTTGAATATTTATAAAATGAAGTGAATTCGTATCTTAATTATTGAAGTTGAATATTTAGGATTACATCATAAAAGTTAAACCTTTTTAAAATTATGGAATTTGAACCAAATTTTTACCCACTAGATTTCAATATTATTTCTTGTCCAAGGGGAAAAACAAAGAAAAGTTGGCTAACTTAAATATTTATGTGATCCGCAAGAAAGCTAGAAGCATTAAAGGGAAGAGCGAGACCAGTCTTTCGTCCAAATTCTTCGATATCAAAATTGGCAAAATTATCAACAAACTATGGGGTGGGTGTGGAAGAACGACGATGATGATACTACCGGAGCTGAGTTCGGCCACTCTTCGAACCCTAGCGGCGACGGCGGCCGATTCTCCACCCGGAAGGTCGTGCGATCCCAGTGCCGAACGGAAGAAGTAGAGCCTGGGAAATTCATCCGCAAGTGCGAGAAAACTGAGGAGCTCTTCAAAGACTGCGCTGGAAGGTACTGAATTCTTATTTCATCTAATACTTTGATACTTTAATTTGTTGGAGGGGTTTTTTTTTTGGGATAAACGGCGAACGTGTTATTCCAATCGCTTGAAATTGTAAATTGACTTCGAGATGTCGTTTGTGCTTTATTGAAGCTCTGATTCTGAGAAAGTGATTGTTCCTTGTTGGGAGAATGTATGTATATATTGTTCTAGTCAAAGAAAGGTTTCAGTTTCATGGTTTTGAGTTACTGGGCCCTGCTTATATTCTGATGATTTGGTGCTTGTTATAGGTGTCAATTACTTATTGTCATGGTTGGATACTTCTTCTTGTTCATTGTCCAAGGTAGATGAATGCTTTGTATACAGGGTTTCTGAGGCATGACACTCCTTAAATAAACAAATAAATAAATCGAGATGCGAAGCTTACAGACACATATTCGTACATCAGCACTTATGTCGTGATTTTTATTATTTTATTTAGTCATCTCCTTGTTTTGTGTCGACCAATCATCTGTAGCTGTGTTCTTGTTCTTCCCGCATTAAACACCACACAGGTGATTTTGCATGTTGTATCAGCAGATGTTTGAGGGAATACTGCTTGTTCTTTAGTTATGCAATTTTTTATATTCATTTGGAACGTTGTTGTTAAGTTGCGGAAATGTTTCCTGTATACAAATTGTTTGGCATAAAATTTTAACATTTGGAGTGGACTTATTAGTAGTTGTTGATTTTAAAGAAGATATGATGTGCAAAATAATGAGATCATGCCATGTTTGAACTAAGTCAAAGTGTATGTCAAATTATATGTTGTAGCATTTTTAGCATAACCCATTGCGGAAAATGCTACTTGAACAATGGTTCTCTTATAGTTCTGTGCCAACTGAACATGAAAATTATTATGAAAGTGAGTTCGGTGATATCATATCTCTTGTATTATAGGTTAATTTATGATTCTTGTGGAAACATATATTTATTTAACACACGGGACAACTTGGAATCTTGTATTAAGCGGGAACTTGAATGACTCTAGTCATTGAAAATTAATTTGGCTCAGTTACTTAATTTTATCGACTCGAAAAGATTTGCGATAACATTGTGGAATTATTCCAAAACATCTCAGATAAACTTGTACTTCATTTTTGTAGTATAGAACTTTGTTTATTATCTGCTGGTGGGGTACCATTTCTAATTGTACTTGAAATATGATGCAACACATTAAATGAATATTAAGCTTATGTTTCGAAAATCTATTGCCTGGTTCAAGTCATAGCAAGCATTTTTTTTTTTTGGGCTTGTCGCACCATATATATCTTCAACTATGATCAACTTATTCATCCACATCACGTTCTGTACTTCTTTTTACTCAGGCCCACAGAGATAGTACAGTCTAACAAAGAATACACCGAGGAAGATGTCACTGACCAAATGGTTAAAGGTTCATTTTCCTTAGGGTCGGCTGAAAGTGAATCCTTTAACTTTCCTGGTTTGCGTAGTGATATTGAAGCCATTGAGCGTAGTTTATTTGGTGGCATTGACCATTTTCTCCGAGCAGCTGAAGACATGAAGAACGACTTTTTCAATGCTATCCGGGTCCCACACATGTTTGATGACAAGGCTTCATCCACTGACAACGAGATAGGGATTCCAATCGAGGTTTCTCCTCCAAGAGAAGCTTTTCCTGAGAAAAAATCTGATAGAGATGATGATTTTTCTGGACTGGCCACGGATGTTTGAATACAGTAGCTCTTTGTGTTCTGCTAGAAAACATATATTTTGACCGACTGTTGGATCTGTTTTGCGAATAATATATCTGAAGACTGTCGTTAAAAGCATGTGATAAATTTGTTTTTGTTGTTCAGTAAGCAGGGAAATGCAGATGGAGTGAGGAAAAAGAAAGATTCATTCTTGTTTTGCACAAAAATTTTGAAGGTGTAGTCAAGATTTTAGTAGATTTTTCTTGACCTTCTTAAACTTGCATTTTCTTAAATGTTCAATTGTTGATACTTTTCTTAGAGATGCATTTTGGGTAGAGGTGTGTACACTTCTTGGATTTTATTATAGGTTTTGTTGAACACAAATTTTTTGGTGAGGCGATCTAATTATTAGAGGTGAGTCGATACGTCATACCTTTATATTAAAAATGCATATTTATGTTATAAAATGTTATACTTTTGTGTATGTAGTTTTTTTTGGTACGCCATTTTAATTTAGTGGCTCACCATTTTGTAGTCAATCCTGGTGGCTTTAGGACATATATGCGTCAAATATTCAGCCGGCCCGTTGTCCACGGAAACTAGCAGCTATTCAAACACAAGATCACAGTCACAAGATGATTAGGAATATTGTAAAAATAATTACCAAATAATAATAATTAAAAAAATGTTTACCTATTGCCACCAAAAGTTATTCTATACAAGCGGAGTATAATATTGGTATTTGAAGGTATATCATATCCTAGGCCTTGTATTACAGATAACCAACATCCTTCTTATTTGTTCATATCACGTTATTTATTACTCTATTTACGCTAAATAAACGCGCAAACCACTTTGGAAACTTTCCAAGATTTCTCAACGGAAAAATTCAAATAGAGATAGAGAAAGAGAGATCAAAACCCCTTTAGTCCAGTCCACCAAAACTACGTCTCAGCACATAAACAACATGAACGTTCCCAGCACGTAAGATGGAGAAACAAAACTGGACTTGGTAAACAGGACAGCACATTTTCATATTCTCGATTTTCACATTACACTGTTTTTCTCTACGTTTTGCAGTCGCTTTTATAGACTTTTTTTCTCAAATATATCCTAAGTTTATGTATTAATTTCTTCTGCATGTGTTCTTAGGATCTTCAGGCTTCGTTTCGAAACAGAGTAAAACCGAAGATCTGAACTTTTTCTTTG